GCAAAAGTGCTTAACTCACTATTCAGAGCATAAAAAGCATATCTTAGACCCATGAGGGTGCCTCTCTTTTATAGCCAACACAAACCTAGTCTCAATAGAAGCCTAGCTTCAATGGACTTAGGATTACTGCTAATCTTGGACTCCCAGTAGGATTGAGATAAACTCTCTAAGAGTCTTATCTTTACCCAAACTGAAGTCTTCTCTCATTCTAGGACTCTTGTCCCTTATCCGCTTATCCCGGATTCCGGTATCTTCGCAGATAACCTCGGCCTAGCTGAGATAATCTTGGCGTCATGACCAGGACACGTGGCACCTCGGCTGGCACTTCGGTGACACCTCGGCCACGTGTTGTCATTCAAAAATTATGTCCCTACAATTGCCCCATAGGTTCTATTACCTCGGCATCCTGAGGTGATGGAACCTATATCATTCATCCATTTAATCATGACCTCGGTTTAACTTCAGCTTGTAAATTTTTCTTAAAATTTCAACAGGTGTTAAACATGTCCTCGGGCTAACCTCAACTTGTAAATTTTTAAAATTTCAACAAGTGTTAAACATGATCTCGGTTTAACTTCAACTTATAAATTTTAAAAATTTCAACAAGTGTTAAACATGTCCTCGGTTTAACTTCAACATGTAAATTTTTAAAATTTCAACAAGTGTTAAACATGACCTCGGTTTAACTTCAACTTGTAAATTTTTAAAATTTCAACAAGTGTTAAACCAACCTTAGCTTGTAAATTCCAACTCCCAACCATCATTCTCTAGTCCTCTTTGGTGCACTACTTCCAGTGTCATTGTGAGTCCTTTTGGACCTCCCTCCATTGGTTGTGTCGAAACAAAGTTCCTTCCCCTGAACATCCCGATGTTCTTTGGTGCAGGTTTCTTTTGTTCGACGTATCTTCTGGGATTCTCCATGCCCGACCTCCTGTGAAGGCCAGTGAGAATGTCCCTTGGTCCCACCATACTGAGGGACTGCAGGAACCGTTTTCTGTCCCCCTTTCTGGGTACCTTTCTTGGCCGCTGGAATCGGCGGATCTTGTAGCGGGAACGGTGGCTGCATGACGTTGTTCTACATCATGAAATTGACGACCGTTTGCAGGTCCGCCAATTTGTCTGCCATTCCCTTCATCTCGTCGTTCCTCCTCAGGCATCTATCTTTCCATACATGGAGGTCGTCCTCGTTATAATACCAGCTCCGGTCTAATTTCTTCGGTACGCCGCCCTCCTGGCCGACGTCCTTTCCCCCGTGATTCTTATCACAAGTCTCTTCGTTGCAGTTTTCTTCTTCGACGTCAAGGTCAATATGTTTCCCACTCTCAGTAGGGGTGTCGTCCCTAACCTTCTCTTTCTGTCCGTCGTTGGCCATCTATTTTCTTTTTTTTCCCACAGACGGCGCCAAATTGTGTGTGTCAATTTCCGACTACACTGCCAAATAAGTACTCAGCTGGAGAACACTGGCAGAATAGATTAAGCCCGAACGACCTGTCACAGAATAGAAAAGAATCCGACGGTGGTTCGTCCACCCGGGGGCACTCCGACGATCAAGTCAGTTATCTCTCAAAGATAGCAAAAGTGCTTAACTCACTATTCAAAGCATAAAAAGCATACCTTAAACCCATGAGGGTGCCTCTCTTTTATAGCCAACACAAACCTAGTCCCAATAGAAGCCTGACTTCAATGGATTTAGGATTACTGCTAATCTTGGACTCCCAGTAGGATTGGGATAAACTCTCTAAGAGTCTTATCTTTACCCAAACTGAAGTCTTCTCTCATTTAAGACTCTTGTCCCTTATCCGCTTATCCCGGATTCCGGTATCTTCGCAGATAACCTCGGCCTAGCCGAGATGATCTCGGCGTCATGACCAGGACACGTGGCACCTCGGCTGGCACTTCGATGACACCTTGGCCACGTGTTGTCATTCAAAAATTATGTCCCCACACATAGTTAATGTGAATATTAATGAGCGTTTTACCGTATTATTATTATGGGTATTTTGATAATTATGTCATTCATAAGACTTATTAGAACATAAAGAAATAATTTAGACTAGATGGGGGCATAAGTAAGTAAAGAGAAAATTGTGAATAAATGCCTATTTTTGGATCCACTTAATCTTGATATACTTAAAAAGTATAAAATTTGTACAAAATCTTTAAAAAAAATTTATCGAATACAACAAAATCCGAAAATATATTGAATTTTCTTCTTTTTTTTTCTTTTTTTTTTTTTTTTTTTTTTTTTTTTTTTTTTTTTTTTTTTTTTTTTTTTTTTTTTTGTGTTGTTGTATGTTTTGTATTTGATGAATTTAAAAAAAAAAAATCACTAATATAATACTTTTTAAGTGTATCTAAAAAAACAAAAAGCAAAGAATTATGCTTCAAGTATTAAAAAATTCACTAACTAAGAAAAATATGAAAAATTCAAAAAAAAAAAACAAAAAAGATGGCCAAACAAATACAACTTACTCGATGGTAATATTAGAGATTGGGAAACTCAACTCGATCAAATATGGATCCACCCAATTACACACTTATTTGAAATCCATACAAATTAGTGTTTTTTTCACCAACTTAATTAAAATTAAATTTAAATAAGTTAGACAAAAGTACTTGATTAAACACATTTTAGAAGAGCAGCTCAACTCAATAGTTTAAAAATGTTTAAATGGGTATCACTTCCTCCATTGCCACCCCTCCACCACCAGCTACTAGGACTCAACCACCATCATTTTTACTATTTGACCGCCACCGCCACTCCACCTCCCTCACTACTACTGTTACCACTACCATATATTAAAATAAAATTAAAAAAAAAAAAATCTATAAAATAAATGAGTTTGATTTAATTCATTTTTTCAACTCATGTCCAAATTAATTCAATCCACTTATACCCATTTATGTACAGATTGTTGACACAACTTAATACATATACAATTACAAATTCAAAAATGCTATCAACTAATAATTTCCATTTATAAAGGAAGTGTTCATAATTTTAATGTATGGTATAACTTCAAACTTTATTATGTTATAGGACATAATAACTACTTTAAATTCTAGACATTTACGCTAACTCAAAAACTAGCCTCATTTTTCAATCTCAATAATGTGACAGTCTATTAGAATATTTAAGACAATTTATTCTCTAACTCTCATATTTTCTCTAATAATCCGTCAATCATCTCATTTTCACATCATTTAGTTTTAAAAATACATTTAAAAAGTCATCTTTTATATGATTTTTTAAATAAATAAATAAAACTTTTGTTTCGGTCAGATTCTCCTAACAAATACTAGAAGCATTCAAAGAGTAATATTAGGAATACTAAAATTTCTACCAAATGTTTTAGCAAATGTCTCACATGGAGTGGATCCCACAAAAGTATGGAGTCCACATTCATATAAGACATTTGATAAAACATTTAATAAAAATTTTGAGATCTCAAGCATTTTCCACGTTCAAATACAACCATGACAATAATAAATGGCTCTTAATTAATAGAAGGAAAATAAGACACTTATTATATCAATAATATTATATTTACCATCTTTGTATCTTAACGTACCATTTTGTATGATGTCATCATGATCACTAATACAAGGAAAAATCATTGTACTGTGGTGTCAATAAAAAATTATTACAAATTTATGACAAAATTTATACTTTTAATTATTAATATTTATAATATCTATCATCTATTTGTAATTAATTTTTGTTTATAACACTGTAGTTCTTATATAATAGATCTCACATAAACTACATTAATATCTAATAATTATAATTACGTCATATAAAATAATATAATGGGGGCACGTTCGCTTAATGAGATTCACTCATGGAATAGGATTTCATGTCCAGAGTATAGAACAATCTATTGTTTGATTCATAAATTTTACACCAAATTATTAGTCTCAAATTTGTTGAATTATTCCTTCCCAGGAGGGGTGTTTGTTTGGAAGGATTGGAGGGGGTATTGGACTCCATGTCTAATCTATCATAGAATCTATTGTTTGATTGAGAATTTATAGGTCGGATTAGGAGTCTCATGGAACTATGAATCACATATATGTTGAACTATTGTATCCTAGACAGAATGTGGGATAGAAATTGTGAGATTAGAATTCCATGGGATTAAGTTCTAAAATGATATATTTGCCTTCCAAGTATTTGATTTCATTATGTATTGTATTTAATAAAATAAAACAAAATATAAAAATCTCAATTAAAAAATAAAATAAAATAAGTTTATTTAATTTTTATTGATGATTATTTATTTTTATTTTTTTAATAAATTTTATTAAATTTTAAATTTTATTTTATTTTATTTTAGAATTCCATGGGATTAAGTTTTGAATTTTATTGATGTTTAATTTTAAATTTTTGTTGATATTTTATTTAATTGGTATTTTATTTAATTTTTATTCATTTTATTTAATTTCATTATTTAATATTTATTATTTTTTTAAATACATATATTTAAATTTTTATTTTTAAAATAACATAAATTTTATTATTTTTTTATTTATTTAAAATAAAATAAAACATTAAATAACATAATAAAATAAAATAAAATATATTTAATATAGTCAAAATAGTTTATTGAGCATTTATCATTATTCATAATATGTCAAACAAACATTGGATTCAATTAAATAGTATTTTCCAGACATCTAATCCCGTGAGAAAATAAATATATGATACACATCCTTTCCGACAAAATAGTCCAAAAACTATATATTTTATGATTAATAATTCAATGGATTACAATCCTCCATTATCTAATCCATCCAAATAAATATGAGTGTAAAATTATTGTTAATATAATAGTAGGGAGCTGTTATTCCCATTTCACTTTGTTCTAAATACACTCTTTTTTTACCCTTATTATACGTAATTATTATTCTCACTCTATTTTACTCTAAATATATTCAATTCTACCTATAATAAAACAAAAAAAAATAAAATATATTTGAAATAAAGTGGAGAAAGAATATCACTCCATAATATTATCTTTATTATTGTTGCAGTAATGATGTAGGTGGAATAAAAGAGAGAGAAAGTAGAGAGAGATTAAGAGAGTGTAACTCACTCTTCACATTATTAAAACACTCAAATTAAAATTCTCAAACATTATCCTTATTATTGGCAAGGAAGCCGTGCAGGTTGACCAGAGCGGCTAGTTGTAGGTGGTGTAGGTGTGGGTGGTGTTATCCTTGGAAAAGAGCTTGAGCCTGAATGCCAGAGCAGAGTCACCCAAGTTTTGTTGCATGACTTTTGTCAGCTTCTCCACCATGAATGGGGTTAGGTGGTTCACCCAATCACCCACCTCACCTTTCCTGAAAAGACTTTCATTTTCAAGGTTTAAAACAGCTCCTTTCCCTGTCTTGTTCACCTCCAACTCCTTCAAGCTCTGGAAGCTGCACAGCCTTGATATCTCCTCAGCCACCCCTTCTCTCTCCTCCTCTAATGAAAACGGGTACCCCAAAAACTCAGCCAACTTCCTCACATAAAACCCCGTGTCTTCTTTCATATCCTCGTACATCAAGAACAACACCTTGTGAGGTCTCTCTATGCTCTCTTTCCAGTACCCTAGCATATGGTCCCAGTAGGGTCCATACCCTATAACACCCCTACAATACATGTCGAAAGCTTCCTCCATCGAAAGGGGTCCCAGACTCGCAGGTCTCGCTCTCATGAGGAAATGCCAGACGGAGATGAAAGTATCAAATGGGTTGCGACACAGATACACAACCCGGCATCCACTGTCGTTGTTATTGTTGCCGGACTTTTTGACTGAGTCCGGCAACGAAGCATACGGCACATGGGTGCCGAAAAGTCTAGGGTTACAGGACCTTGTGGAGGAAGACAGGTCAGGGACATGGTTGTAATTTGCATAGACCTTGTACTCGAGGAAAGGTACAAGGTCATGTGGGTTGGAGGTGAGCAAAGGATGGGTTTTTGGGCCAAAACGCTTGCGATTGACAATAGCAAATGCGAGGGCTTTCAACCATGTTGTTCCGGATTTTGGGATAGTGGCTAGTATGATGTCACTGTCTTGGGCTTGGAAGTGTCTTTGGCATGAGATTATGGCTTGAATCTCCTTTGCTTGGCACCAAAAGTTTTGGAACCAATAGAGGTGATTGGTTCTCCAACCTTTCTCTTTTGGAAGTGAGAGAAGCAATTGCTTGGACTCATTGCTTAGCTCTTCTTCTGCTTCTTCTCCTCCTCCTCTAGATTGGTTTTCAATCAACTGAGTCATAGTCATAGTGTTTGGGTGGGTTTTTGTGGGTGAAGGTTGGCATAAAAACTAGATTAGTCACGCCTACTTATATAGAGTATCTATCTACTGTTTGCTCGCTATTTATTTTATTTTTTTCTCCAGATCCACACGTTGAGCACATGCCGGAGACATTAACGGAAAATTATACAATAATTTCAGAGTAACAGGTAGTTATATTTGTCACTAATCACCATTTATTATGTATTTCATATTTTTTAATTATTTAATATAAATAATTAATATTACCCTTTCTTTATCCACCAAGGATCCTGTGTTTTTTTCCTAAAATTTCCTAAAATGGTGTATTGTGTGGTTGAGATTTAATACTAAAAAATTAATGTGACTTATCATTAAATCCCAACCACACAATGCATAACTTTAAGAAACTTTAGGAAAAAAAACTCTAGAAGATCCTTGCTCTTCTTTATCAATCATATCACCATGAAACACGTGGTCATACTCTAATCGCCGACGTTAACACATCTCATGAATTTAAAAAACATTTCATGAATTTAACACTTTTCACATGCTAATTGAAGGAAAATGCTATTTTTATATAAAATGCATACCAAAAAATCATCTCATGAATTTAAATATATATATATATATATATTGGTTGTCAATCTGATTTTGATATCTTTGTGAGTGATTTGATTTTAATTGAATAATTTATGTTGACTCACATTATTATATAAATTAATTAAATCATGCACAAAGACTACGCATCCACAATTTATATTCAAAATTTATCCAAAAAATTTAATTTTTAATTTAAATTTATTTTATATATGGGCTGATATTTTACCAATTTAAAATCTACTACATAAACTGATTTGCAGAGAAATTTGAATTAATAGAATTACTCTTCAATCATGTGTGGAGAAATTGATCAAGAGTTACGTATGAAGCATGCATTCAATATTTTGTTAAGAATAATATTAGGGAACATGAAAAAAATATCATGAAATGTTTCATGAAATTTTTTTATCATTTGATTAGTGTGTGGTGTTTTATTGTATTTGTAATTCAAGGGTGTAGAATCTTTCATGATCATTTTCATGATATTTTTTTCATGATTCTTAGCATTATTCGTTAAAAAATGTATAATTTTATAAAGATAAATACTAACAAGTACCCCAAGATACAATAAATGATTGTTAATATATAATAAAGATTAATAAATATTATTTTTTAATAAACCTACTAACAAAGTTTTTAAAATAACATTTAAAGTAATCAAGTATATCATTTAAAAAAAGGGTAATTCTATCTGCACATCACTAATCATTTCAATACACACCATTTTTTAGTACACACACATAATAATTTTTAGAATTTTAAAATATCTTAGTTCATACATTTTTTTTTTTTTTATGAGCAAAAGAATTACACTTTATTGATGAAAATGCATATGTTCATATGAGAATTACATCAATAAAGAAGGAGGGAGTGCAACAAACATTATAGTTTGACACTAAAAATACTACACAATCATATTCTAGCATCAACCTCAAAGTTGGTGAGAAACCAACAAAAACAAAACAACAAAACCAGTCTAAACAATGATCCACACTGGTGTAGAGCACCGCAGCCACCATTCATGCCTTAATGTAGTAAGTGCCTTACCCGTTTCAAATTAGCCACAACAGCATGCATTGAGTATTGAAACTCACCAGTATATACTTTAATCCACAAGGCAACTCTAGTCTTAATCAGTTCACAAATCTCCTCCAATATAGGTTGTTTTCCATTGAATATGGGCTTATTACGCAACTTCCAAATGGACCATAGGACTACCAATGGAAGTGCATCCCAGATTTTACTTTCAAGCCTTCACCATTTATACCCTCTCCACTAATCCAACACACCTTCAGGCTTTTCAGGGGTCACCCAATGCAGATCCCACCAGTTCAGAATGTTTGTCCAGATCTTCCAAACAAATGGGCACAGTAGCACGACATGACAAATTGTTTCTACAAAATGCACAATTTGTCATGGCCTCATGACTGAGACACCCCACTCTTTAAAGGAAAACTCTTGATTTGATTCTATCCTTCCAAGCAAGCCATCCAAAGAATTGAATTTTTGGTGGGGAAATGTTGTTCCATATTAACCTAGATGTCCCCAAACTCTACCCCACACTATTTCTATTATAAGCTAAATTAACAGTAAGCATACCTGAAGATGAGGCCTTCCAAGCTAATGAATCAGCCCTATCTGACTAAAATGGCTCGTGTGTGGTACGGTAGGACCTTAGTCTTTCCACTTCATCTTCCTCACAAAGCCCCAAGTATTCTCTTAAAAATCAAATTACATCCGGTTGAGCAACTTCCCCTTTCAATCATCTGTTAAAGAGTGGCTTCTTTTTCTAATGATAACTCATATAATCTGGGAAAGTCATCCTTCAAGCAACTGTTGGTAGGCCAATGATCCTCCCAAAATCTAACCCTCATCACATTCCCTACTTGAATGACAGAATTCTCCATAAAGAAGCTAAAAAGATTAGGATTGCTATGTTCCAATCTGAGGATATCACCCCAAATTCTTGAGCACTGAGCACTGTTATCATAAAATAGTATCTATCTCCCACCTGAGCTACTCTATTTACTAATCAAAATATCTTTCCACAATGCTTGATCTTCACCTCCCATATCTCCACCATCATTTGGCCAATAAACAATCATTAACAAATTTACAATCTTTTAATCCCTAAACCTCCAAAGCTCTTCTTTTTGGTGACCTCCTCCCATTTTACCAGATGAAGCTTCTTTTTAACATCTAAGCCTCCCCACAAAAACCTGGCCTGAATTTTGTCATGCAACTTAGCTACACTTCCAGGCAATTTAAAAATAGAAAGGTAATACACTAGTAATGAAGACAACACTACTTTGACCAGTTTTAATCTACCTCCAAATCAAAGAAATTTTCTCTTCCAAGAAGCCAGCTTAGACTTGAATTCGTTGATCACAGGCATCCATGTACTCTTCTTTTTTGGATTGGACCAAATGGCAAACCAAATGGCATACAGTTTAGTTTTTCTGCAAAGTCATTAACAACATCTTCCTATACACCTACACTACAAACTTTACTTTTATGAAAATTAATCCTCAAGCTAGAAAGCCCTTCAAAGCACCTCAAAATTCTTTTAACATTCAAAGTATCTTGCTCATCAGCCTCACAGAACACAATTATATTATCCGCGAATTGCAAATGAGTGTCATTAATCTTCCTAAGTCCTATCACAGCCCCTTTGATTAGCCCCAGTGATTTAGCTCTTTGGAATAACATATTCAAAGCTTCAGCCACTATGATAAAGAGAAAGGGTGACAATGGGTCCCTTTGTCTGAGGCTTTTTTCTGGACAGAATTCAATAGTAGGAGAGCCATTTACAAGGATTGAAACTCTAGTTGATTGTAGGCATTCCTTCATCCACCTGATCCATTTGTCCTGAAATCAAAACTTGACATCATGGCAAAGAGGCACTCCCAGTTTACAGTATCATATGCTTTTTTAAAATCCAGTTTCAGGATCACCTCCTTCTTTTTCTTCTTCTACTAATCCGCTACTTCATTAGATACTAGCACCACATCCAATATGTTCTTTTCACCAATGAAAGTAGATTGAGATTCTCCTATCATTTTAGGCAAAACCTTTGTGATTCTAAAAGCTAAAACCTTATAAATAATTTTGTAAAGAGAACCGATGAGGCTGATTGGTTTGTAATATGAAATACCACCTGGGCATTTTTAGGGATTGGTGCTATGAAAGAATTATTAATATGTTTAGCTAAACACCCATTATCATGAAAGTCCTTGAAGAATTGCAAAATATCCCTTTTAAACACTTTCCAACACTTTTGAAAACAAGGCATGTTAAAGCCACCTCTTTCACAGCTCTCCAAATTTCCTCTTCTGAAAATGGTGCAACTAGCCCATCAGATTCATTATCATGACCAATGGACCTGAAAAAACCTTGAAGCTTGGGTCTAGATTTCCATTCTTCCGAGAATCTCCTTCTGAAATGATTAAACACCTCATGCTTGACCTTTTCTGGATCCTCATTAAGCTCTTCATCTACTTCGATTAAGTTCAACAAATTTCTATTTTGTCTGCTAGTGGCTATAACATGAAAGAATCTTGTGTTTTTGTCCCCTTTTAGCTCCAATTCAATCTGGACTTCTGCCTCCACATTCATTCCTCTCTTTTGCTTGGTGACCATACTTCTTTTCTAACTTCTCTTCTTCTTTTAACCTCATCCTCCTCAAAGCTTCTAAATTCAGCCACTAGATCAATGGCATGAAGCTCCTCCTCTACTACCTTCAATGCATGAGTAACATTTCCAAAAACCTCTATATTCCATTTTTTCAATGCTGAATGCAAAGTCTTGAGTTTGTTCATTATGACAAAGCTTGCCCAACCGGTAATTGTAGTATCTTCCCAAGATTTCCTCACAAGTTCTCCGAATTTTGGATGAAAAGTCCAAGCATTTATAAAGAGAAATGGTCTTGTACCCGAGTCCCTACCATCCTCTAACAATAGCAGGGGGCAATGGTCAGAGATACTTCTTTCCAAACCCCATAATTTTAAGTTCAACCTTTCCAGCCACTTAGTTGACATGAGTACTCTATCAATCCTACTCCAAATTTTCTCCTTCATTAGAATTACACCATGTAAATTGTCTACCCATCATGGGTAAATCAATGAGCTCCAAATTTTCTATGAATAGATTAAGCACCTTTATCCCTCTGTCTCTTCTAGAGTAATTCCTTCTTTCCCCAAGTTTTCTGATTTCATTAAAATCACCAGCTAAACACCGGGGATCATAGAACATAGTTTTCAATCTAGCTAATACATTCCAAAATCTACTTCTCATATTTACTTGATTTGGTGCATGGGTATTGACAAGTACACAATTAAAATTTGGAAAAAGAGTACTTGAAAGTACAATGCAATGCCTTGTACTTCAACATTGGGAGAGTCTGAACACAGTTGGCTTCCAAATGCACAAAAGTCCACCT